GCGTATTATTAATGCTTCTACCAATCTCGTAATATCGGAGACTGTGAGACTGTCTATCCCTACCACCTTGCTCCGTCGTAGACGTCCCTCTAACCGTGGAGGCCAAGTATAGGTTGAAGAGCTCAAGGCCAGAGCCCCGATACCTGGACCTTTATTGAATGCTCTGCTTGGGGTGCCGGCAAAATGTCGTACGTATTTAGTGGGTGACGACTCGACGCAGGTACAATTATTGGTGTAGTTGTCTGGGGTACAGACGAACTTGAAGCTGGTGATTTTACAGCAGCTTCATACAGCGCGACAGTTGCAAAGCGATAGAAGTCTTTTCGTATCTTCGTTTTTGACTTTGGATTTTGGATTTTGGAATGCTTCGGTACATGATAAGATGGATCTGGAAAGGGTCGCGAGACAAATTTAACTAGGATTGGCTTTCCATTAAAATTCGAGATGGTGAAGAGTTCCGGTGGTTGAACACGGAACTCAGATAGGGTTGATCTAGTTGGTGGTTCGTATTTGTTGTGTCGATGGGTGCCTTTGTTGGGTTGTGCAGTTGTAAAATTTCAGCACCGGGGCGGGCTTCGACCGAAACTAAGCCAGCATCACTTTCCCCGACTACAATCTTAATGAAAAATATCAGTTCAACTTTTCGTCGGGATTGAAGCTCTGCGCTGGAGGGATATTCCACCCACGGCTTTGTAGTGGTCATCACTGTCAGGTGTTCAGCCTTCGTCCTCCAATAAATTCTTCCCTATTACTCCCCAGTAATTTATCTGTACACGGCCCATTTCTTCTATCCAAAACGAGATATCTCTTTTACATGAAGTTGCTAGTTAGAGCACTCGGGCCTGGGTAGCAGTTCACTCTATGGACACTTTACTGAAGGAAACATCACGTAGAGCTACACTCTGATAGTTGTAGAGAAAATAGGTACTCTAACACATAGTAAGAGTGATGCTGCTCACTGTGCTCTTAAGTAATATCGTCTCTCTCATCACCCAGCATTACTACAGCCTAGAATCTTTTCAACCCAATGTTGTTTGTCATGGGTAGCACTATCCTCCATGCCCCTTGAGCTTTTTCGTGGGAAGAACAACGCAACTCCGTGCCCTTGGGAAATCGCAGTGATTTCTCAAAGGACTAAGCCATTCCACCCTTCGTCGGAGAGAACCTGTGAATATTTCCTTTGGCGTCACATAACCGCTGCCTGGGTAAATATCTCGTAGAAGATAATCTGACCGAGAAGTGGCGGCCCTCAAACTAAATGGGTTGACTCTGACTCGTCTTTAAGTCGAATGGAGATGATTACTTCGGACGAACGATGCGTGATTGCGCGACAAGGCTAGCCGAAATAATGCATGAATATTTATTTGTGATGGGCATAAGCCCTGCACTAATAGAGCATGACACGGAGAAGGCTAGTCCTCACGCGACATCTATATACGATGACATTAGATTAGATTTTTATTACAGTCCCTACTGAGTCTAGGATTATGTCGGACTTCGTGAATCTAACCAAAGATTCTAATTACATTTGAGAAATTTAATTTTGAAATGTGCCAAAATTTGTTCTTATAGATATTGAGGGTCAAGCCCTCTATACGACGATATCTCAGTTTGACATTTGAACTTCTTATGTAGTGGGAGCATTTGCTGATACCACTCGAGACCTTTGTGCTAACGACTTTCACCCTTTCCTCGGCCGTTATTATCCACCACAGGGAAAACAGGAAAACCTTTGAAGGCTAGCCGGATTAATTGATTTAAACTTAAGTCTCTACTTAGTCCTGAACCATGAAGGACCACTTAAATATCTACCTAAATAGCTCTTTACTTTATGGGTTAATTTTTAATTTGAATATTGTTAGAATTTAGAATAATTGGGGCTGTCAAGTAGGCCCCGTTGTTGATACACACGTGACTGCAAATTCTGCACTTAGTTTTACATCGGTAGTTACTTGAATCAATACGCTCTACAACCTCAACGGCTGAGGGGCCATTATTTCCTTAATAAATATTACAATTATACACTAGTTGATCCCGAGGGTCATGTCCTAAGGCTAGCCGGAATACGCGTGTCATAGAGCGAGTCGTTCACAGATGTGAGAACGGTGCTCGAAATGCACCGGCGGATGCTTGTCTAAGAGTGTTGGTGTCTATGGAATTACACAGATAATGAGTTATCCAATCGACAGTTGTTATACATGATCTATAGGGGTTATGTTTGATTCGAGTGGCAGCTGTGTGGGATAAAATTTAGTGCACAGACACCTCATTCTTGTGCAAAGGAAAGTTCCCCTCCTTATGGGAACGCAGAATCTTCAATATACATTTATCAGGCCACAAGGTTATCGGAGCCTGCGCACAATGCTAAACAGGAGCTTCAGCCCAATGACCATCGTAAGCCCATAATAATAACAACAGTAGATTACTCCTACCCAATCTATTCGCTGCTCGAGGAATGCCACGCAGATGCGCGAGCCCAAATAGAACACATTGATAGCTCATTCTGATAGCCAGCCCCCCGGGCACGGTTGTGTCGAAAAATGCAATTAACATGTAGGGGATCTATTGTTTTGAGGGCCTCCCAGCGAAGCGGTCACTGCTGGATGCGAGTATAGCAATGCATAGAGGGGTGCGGGCTCAGCCCTTTTAATGTTGTTGGAGACGAAAAGTTATTGCATTGTCAATTTACCTCTCATCTCTTAGTATCTGTAGCATTTTTGCGTGTTCTACGCTAGCCCCATGTATCCAGCTCTAGCGCTTATGGCAGGATGCTCGAGTAGAGGAAGGGATGGCAGAGCAATTTCATGCTCTTTCACGTAGCTTCACGACTAGCATCTTTGGGGAGCATTGATGATTGTGGCGACTGGTGGTACTTCATGACCAGGGGTCTAGTCCTCTCTCAATGGTCCGACATGCGAGATGATGTCCAAAACTACCGCCAACGACGGTAAGCAACAACCTACGCCGGACAGGAGCGGAGGAAGATGTGAGACGCGCGAGTCAATGAACTCATCAAGGAGTGCGGGCGTGGCAAGTGCTGGGTTGCGGTAAGTTTTGCTGGCCCTGAGACAGAGCCACTGACCGACTTTGCAGGCCGAGGCTGCAAGATGCGGGTACCATGTCAAACTTATCAAACATGTCTCATCACAGCCTGCCCCGAATTATCGATGCTGCACCGCCTTCAATCATCTGTGATAAATCTGTCAAACCAACCAGGCAGGCTGAGTGCCGCCACTCAGCTCGTCTCCGTCTGCATGTTCGATGGCACGTGATCCTGCCCAATGGAAAGGATAGCCAGCCCAGAGAGCGTCTACTCACCTTCGACGACAATGATGGATCGTGATAACTGTAGCTAGCCTGTGAAGGCTGGCTCTGCCTAGAGGTGTCAAGCAGCATCCACAGAGTTGATTATTGATCAAGGACCGCTGGTAAGCCCTGACCACAGCAACCATCTGGTCTCAACGTAGGCCGACACTCCCTACGAGACACTGTTAGCCAGCTAAGCCCGGCTTACATTACCGTGGGCGTATTCGTTGACTCGCTTCGCTTCGTTACGAGATCTGGCGATTGCTCCATACTCCATCAATCCTAATCAATCGCGGCTCTCAGGCTGTCTCGGCATGCTGTCAACGCGATTCTATCAATACAGCACAGTTCTCTCTACGACCCCCTGAAATGCTTCGACCAGCAGATCGTATGGGGATGGGCTTTTGCTCACTCAAAGTCACTACCATCGCATCCATTCAATTTTTCGGAGCACCAGAGCGCTATATTTTTATGAGCAGTGAGCTGAAGGTGCCTGCTCTTGCAGCATCATGACGCCCCCAAATCATTTGCACTTAACTCAGACTATAAATTAGACTTTCAGTCGCATCACGCTCGACACGTAGAATAGTTATCTACCGTCATGAAGGTGTGCGTAATTAAGGGCCAAATCACTGGGAGATCTTAGGGGCTCATCTTACACGAGGGAGAGAGGGAGAGAGAGGCACTGGTGGTGATGGGAAACTGAAAGCTTGGACCTGAATCGTCTTGGAAAAAGACTCTTGCCAATAGCTTCATGCGTTGGCGCCGCATCTGTTTCTAGAGACGGAATCTGTCGCTTGCATAGAGGAAGTTTCAAATCTCTAGCGATCGCTCTCCCAGTCGTATGTATGGCACAAGACCGCTTTAAATCGACCGTTTCTCCCACGCCAGCGGGTCTATCCTTCTTTGTGGTAGCACCTCGCATGGCCTGCACACGCTTAATGAAAGCGATCAAGTCGATTGGAACACTTGTATGTTATTGGGCTTGGTAGAAACCCCTAAATGCGCTTAGTGCGCTTCCTACACTTCTGAGACCTATTACTGACCAGCATCCGCTCAACGAGCAGCGGCTCTTCTCTTCATTTAGACGCGTCAGCTTAGGGGTCTGGAATATTCTTCTTCCCGTCAAAAGCGGGTACATCCGTCTCAAGCTGGTAGGGCTAGCAAATCACTGGCCATGTCCCTGCTGGTTTTTACTTCGGATACAATGTGTCGTCCTGCCATGTACTGGTCATGTTGTGGGGGCTGAGACATTTTCACCGCAACGGTTCAGATGCATTCACATGAGACCGCTCCTCGAGGCTTATTTAAGTACCGCCTACCACCGTAATCTTGGAGAAACAACAATTCCATTTGCATCAATACTTTCTCTCTCACAGTCACTACTGCCTAGTCCAGATTTTTCGCTCACTATTGACCTTGATCGTGGTATCGCTTCACTTACTATTCTCTTTAACTCGGAGAATTAAGCTTATCACAGCCTAACTCATATTCAGGGCATTAAGTTGTCCCTCAATTTTGGCACCGTTGCCTCGTATCTCACAAAACCTCTCACAAATTTCAACGTATCTAAACTTATCATCTCGCAAATTTCAGAGGACATCTCGGTATCTTAGCAGCGCAGTCACACTTACACGGTGCTATTTAGACCTCGAATCTTGGAAATTAATCGCGCAACACTTGTACAAAGCACTATGAAGAAATTTTATGTAGCAGATACCAAATCTAGCAGCAGCAATTATCAATCTCTCAAAAATCTCAATACTGGCACACCTCAAAATCATACGCTCAGATACACCCAAAGTGAACACAGTCAGCGACGCATCTCACAGCTGGCCAAAATTGACCTGGTGGCAAAACGGCACTTTACCAACTCTTCCATCTTCCGCATCGACATTATGAGCAGTGTCTTTGCCCTCATTACATCAGATGAAGATTCACAGGCCTGTGAGCGCGTGGAATTAGTGATGGATGAAGTGGTAGGAATACGATTCTGTCGCATACCTATTCCCGTACGTCATTGGAACATTCGAGTTATGGTACGGCCTGTCGTTGATTCGTCTACCATTTAATCATAGCCACTACCAGAAACATAATTAAACTCTCAATTTGAGCTGGTTATCAGCCCTAATGCGAAGCATAAGAGATAGACAAGCTACATATGCCACAACTATGCCGGAAAATGTGCGGTGCGCAATTTGATTTTACCTTAATATCGCGGGCTGCATGTATCATCTGATAGCTGGAGTATCAGGAGCATCGTGGATTGGAATGGGATTTGATGTACGAATCTAGGGGGAAATTAGTGCGCTGGAAACGCAGATGGTGGTGTAGCTAGTGAAATGTAATTATGTGCTTGAAATTATCATCCTTTCTCATGATGCTAGCCTCTGCTCCCTGTATACCCTTGGGCTAGTCAGGACCGGTTATGGCCGTGGAGAGAGATCTTTCAGCTATAATCTAATTGCCAGAGTTATTGTGAATACATGTCTGACCATTTACGAGATACAGCCAGGCCCTGTCGAACAGTACAGAGTGGATAAAAATAGAAATGTGATTATAAAAAATGCTGGATAGACGATAATAGACTGTACCGTAGGCAAGCAATATTTGTATTCAAGTCCCGTCTATGAGAGACATTTAGGTAGGGACCAAGTTATTCATGTAATCGGACTCTGATAATCACTATTCGCTCTACTCTTCCATTCTTAGTCGTGTATTAGTTGCCATGACTTTCGGCCCAGCTCAATCAATTAGCCCCACGAGAGAGAGATGTTGGCATGGAAGTTAAGATTATCAATGTTCCGGCGTATTGGCCGTTGACGTCGTCCAGGTATCCCGACAAGCTAAATTGACTTTGGATATGTAGCAGATACACCCATGGCTCCCGTCGTCGTATCTACATCCAACTACTCACGTGAGCTGCTGCATAAAATTGAGTAAGGATAGGCGAAAGGTTGCCCGTCGCTATCAGATGAAGTTTGCGCATGAGGTCAGCTGAGAGCAAGTATATAGCTGTGTACCTTGGATACCAATGTCATTTGGACCTCACTGTACTTGTGCATCTATATATAAATATCAATCGTGGTTTTTGACGGTAAAACTTTTCTTCCATTCACGCTATCATGTATGAGCTTACGAGTACTATACGTGGGTGGACTGTGCGACAATCAGATTGCGAGCGACTCGCGACATTGACATATGTATCGCTACAAAGAGATCATCATGTGACACTGACTGGCTGCAATCATGCAAGATTTATCATTCACGTACCGTATGCAGGAATCCGGTAATTATTAATTGTATCGAACCCATTCGTGTTTCTACTCGCGATATATATAGACATAATGGGAACATCAAGACAACCAAAACAATGTATCTACGAGCCCACATCCATTTATGCTCTCCTTTCTGCCGTGTGACTGGACAGGCCATTTATCTCTCATTGCCTACAGAAAACGTTCATCTGAAAATACAGTCACATCCGATGACTGCGCCAGCTCGACAAGCACTCGTCCCAACTGCGACTTAGCTAACATCTGCCAATGGAGCAAGTTGTATAATTTGACGTCACCCGAAAACACTGGCCCGGCACCGAAATCGCGCCACAAGAAAGGCAGGAGTCAGGCAAGATCACCGAGGTCCGATGCTGGGCTAATTGCTCGCCTTTCCACAACCCTTCTCTCCATTCTCAGAAAACGCTTCTTGTCTATCCTAGACTTGGAGGACTATTGGACCGCACACAGATCATCAAAGAGACCTAGTGTTTTCCGTCTCGTATAGCATAAGTGGCCCCCTCGGCCAGCCAATGTTCAGGGCTCCGGCGGATATCTCACACTCTGCAACCCATGGCTAGTAATACCTAGACAAGGCTTCGACAGAGAGAGCTTCAGTATCTTTCGGGATCAGCTCTAAAATATTAAAACATTAAATCCAGATTTATTGAGTCGCCTTTGGACGACAAAATTAGTTTGGAGCCGACCTTTAAAAGCTTTGATCCTACGAAAATCCAATCTATAAACCCTACTCGCACATCTGCAGCCTCGTCGCAAGGGGTCAAAACGCGTCGTCTTGCAGTTTTGGTCTCTGCCACCTATAGTTATCCGAATTATTTCTGTTTATTCCACAGAGCTGAGGTCTCTCGACAGTAGATCTCACCCCCGGTTATATCCTAGATACCACGGCTACCGTAGCGTAAATATTTGCAATAGTTATGTCTGCCTTACATGCTCCAAGTAGCCCTTGAATCCACTCTCTATTGTGGTCATGAGCTCACGGCGCTAATGAGCTAGAGATGCTATTCGGTATTACAAGCAGAAAGCAATAAATTTTCATTATGAATGCTATATTAAAGACTATTTGCATCCCATGGTGAGATGAGCTTTCATATGCACAAGACTGAAGTTTCGGTGCACTGATTTGTGCCCAATAAAACTAAAACAAACGTTGTCATAGCAGATCACATAGACCACACATTGCAATATTCTATTATGGAGGATGAAAACTCTATTGAAGGGGGGTGATGTATATGCTCGTATACACTTGGTATCTGCAATTGAACGGTTGTGACTACTCAGGTGGCTTAGAATATACTTGGGTGATTATGGCAATAAATGTTACTGGATGCAAATGGTATCTTATTGTGTTATTATATTATGTTTGAATTTAATTTCATTATCCTGATTTGGCACCATATGGCCCATGCAGGTGTCTACAATCTATAATAATTGCCCGGGAGGAAACCTTTATGGTGAAAGCCTCCCATACCTTTCCACTTTTTGTCTCTAGTTCTCACATATTTTCTTCAGGAAGCGCAATTACACTACAGTGCCATCCATGTAAACCAACCAGATCATCTCTATCCGCCCCAAGCGTTATTTGACCTTTTCCTTTCCCTCTGCAGTATTTCGACCGCTTTTGTCATCTGGAATTGCTCTATCCAACCATGGTTTAGGATCCACTGTGTTATCCTTCTGACGTCTCCAGGATTATTTATCATCGCTTCGTAGGATCGATCTTTGGCTTATCTCCAGATCTCAGCTTTACCATTTGACCATCGAGGGCAGGACATCATCATATGCTTGGGGTTCTGTGATTGGTAGCCGCATGGACAACCTGGACTTAGTACTCCGGGTAATTTTCTTCGGTGTAAATACGAGCTAAGCCCCATGTGCCCACCTCGTATTCGCATGGCCAACCTGCTTTGGGCCCTTGTCAGGTTACGATGCAGGAAGAATGATGAGCCTTGAAAACTCAGTTATTGCCGTCCAGACTCTCTACTTGGGTAAAATTTTACTGCTCTCCAAGTTTCGGGATGTGCAGTTGCTAACTGCCGAGGCTTATGTTACAGGTTGAATTAGTCTCGTTTAACGTCCTATGCGGTATCTATGTACAGACCATGAAGACGGTAAGCCGCTTTGGTGTGGGAAAAAGCTTTCAAACAAAACCCAATGTCCTGCCACTCTGAACCGACCCGGCTTAATGCTGAGGACGTTCCTTTCAACCACAAATTTATAAAATTTCTCCCGAACTCGTTAACTCCCCCTTCGATCAGACTAACCTTATGAAAAATTATAGAGAGAAGGCACCTCCTCGCTCGGTGTTGGTCTTCGAAGTGTTCGAAGAGTTGGCCCCGATGGTGCTGCTGCTGTCGAGGCGATGGTTGGTGCCACTGGGGCTTCGTGTCACAGTAGAGAGTGAGGTGGATGGGGACCGACGATGTCTGATCTGGTGAATTAGATTGTCTACACGGAGGATAGAGTCTAGTACTCTGGAACTAATAATTATTTATGGACGCGTTAGCGTGCATTTAGACATGTCCATACATCATGTGACTGCTCTGCCCGAACGCCTTGTTTCCTTGACACTTCGACTACCTTACGCCGTCTCCGCGCTCGTCTACGCGAATAGGGATGGCCTTTACCGTACGTGAATGGGCTGCTTCCTTTGCTTCCTGCATGAAGGCTCGTCCCTATTTTTTTATTTTTTTTACATCAGATTTTAATTGCGTATGCAGCTATCTAGCTATGACACAATATCAAAGAAAAGTACAGAAAAGATGATTCAACGTAAGGGCAGAGTATTCATACCCCAGATTTCATTTGCAAGTACCACTGCGAGGTTATGGTGGCTTTTTCTTCACCCCAAGTCAACCCTCATCCGTGAATACCCACCCAGGGGAACGTCTCAAAAACCCTGAGTTACCCAGACATGCCTCCATCATCTTTAACTTTTCTCCGCGCGCATTATCATCTTAGGCGTCTCCTTCTCAAGTGGAGTAGGTGCCCAGGTGTGATGGGCGATCAACAAAACAATATAGTAAAGGAATGGTGGCCGATTACTGTCTATTTTCTACATACATCTCGGAACTGTCCACCGAGGGGATGCTACTTAAGGTGTCCCAACTCCCAATGCGCTAACCTCACTATCTATTCTACTACATCATATCCTTGATATTCCGAGTGGGCTCGTCATAGCGAATCTGGGTCGTATCGGCCCATGATTCCATATGAGACTTGCTGCAACAATATCTTGTTTCCATATTTGTTGCAACCCTGTATTTGTATGGCCAAGTTGGACATCTCTCTAGATAGCAAGGCTAATGACGTAATAATGATAAGTGTCCGTGCGACAGTCACTAGGAGATAGGCGCAGCCTGTAACACCAGGCTACTCAAATCATACCAGAGAACACCACCAGGAGGCGGACCACAACACCTTCCATCGTTTGCTTGATTTTATAGCGTCAGCTGCACTCTCGAAAGCGAAGTCTTGGCGCGCACAAAGCCCAATTCGAAAAACTCCTTGCCAAAATTCGGAATCTCATGCCCTTCGAAGTTATATCCTTCCTCCGCATCATCTTGTCAACTTGTCCTGATTCCTCTCACGTCTATCCCAATGAACTGTCTCCCAGATTTGTGCGCCACGCTTTGCTTCATCCATCGGGTGTAAATAACGGCATGGGCGTGTATCTGGCGACCAGCTGAGGCCAGAGAAAGTCGACGAGAGGTGTGATCATTGGAATGAGGATGTACTAGGTCGTACTTGTAGACTTGATGAAGCTTAGTTGAGATTCGGACTCTTTGGGAGTGAAAGATTGAC